TGATGAAGAATGTGTTGTAGATGGTTCTGTATAGAACCTTTCTGAAAAGGGTTCTATAGAGCACCATAAAGGGTTCTGCTATTGTTACGATGTGAAGCTTGCAACAACAGAAGAGCCCTTTTTGGTGCTATATAGAACCATATACAGCACATTCTCTATCAATCTGAAGAAAACTTTCACGATGCAAAGGGTTTGTGGTTCTATACAGAACCATTTTCATTACTAAAGACTAAAAGCCATCTTTTTCAAGTGTGTAGAACCCCTTTCAAAAAGGTTCTTTATAGAACAATTTATAACACATTCATGCACATTCTCCATTAGTCTGAAGAACCCTTTTACCATGCAAAGAGTTCTTGAGTATTCATGGTTATTTATAGAACCATTTTCTAAAGAACCCTTGAAGAACCCTCTTTTTTAAGTATGTAGGGAGCTCTTTCAGACACACCCCTATGTTCTGACTGAACTGCTATAATGTGCTATATTATTCAAGCAGCTTTACTGGGACGACTGAACGAGGAAACAGGGTTCTCCGACTCCGCTCCAAACCTGATCTTAACAGCTAGAACAGCAGGTTATTAGACGACGTGGTCCGAGGGAGGTCTTTCAGAACGTTCTCGCTTAGACAACGTAGGTCAAACACAGCATGCCACGCAGCGGGACAGCACGAGAACCACGAACCGAGAGGCAGAGCGGAGAACCTGGCCTGTTCTAAATGAGTTTCACACTGATCACACCTCGGCAAGCAGAACACACACCCGCAGTGAACACTGGGGGGAGGGGGGGGGGCGTCCAGCCTGTAAAAGCCCAGCATGCTGATTTACCCTGTTATTAACACTAATAACCATACACACACACACACACACACTGTACACACTGTACATTCACACACTGTACATACTGTACACACACTATGCATACACTGCACATACTGTATATACACAAACTGTACATACTGAACACACTACACTACACAGCATACACTGTACATACTCAATACACTGTACGTACACTGTATATACTGTACACACACTGTACATACACTACCATTCACTGTACACACACTGCACACTGTATATGCACACACTATAAATATTGTAAACACACTGTACACACACTACACATACACTGTACACACTGTACGTACACCCACTGTACACACTGTACATACACTGTAGACAGTACACACTATAAACACAAATACTCTGTAAACACACACACACCACACACACACTGTACACACAGTACAAAAACACACTGCACACATGCACTGTACACACACTACACACACTACACACACACACACACACACACACACACACACCACTACACACACACACATATACACACACACACACATATACACACACACTGTACACAGAGAAACAGAGAGGGAGAGAGGAGAAAAAGAAAGAGAGAGAGAGACAGACAGACAGACTCTGAGTCTGGTCCAGGGAAAATAACCCTGTCAGTCGAGCAGCGCCCCCCCCCACCACCCCCCATTTACACAAACACACCCCAAATATCTGTGGTCCTGTTCAATGACGGCCCCCCTCGCCAGCAGCGAGTCAGTGGACGGCTCCTGGGGGGCTGAGTCAACTCGGTGGGCAGCAAAGACAACTGAGAGCATCTGATGAAAGTGTGAATCAAAAGAGCCGTTTCTGCTGCGCGCGGGACGTTTATGGGTCAGCGTCAGTTAAAGGGGAATTCCACCCAAAGTAGGTCAAATTCAGAGCCTGTCACTGCCTCTACCACCTTTACTCTCACTGCCTCTACCACCTTTACTGTCACTGCCTCTACCACCTTTACTCTACCACCTTTACTCTCACTGCCTCTACCACCTTTGCACACCGTCTGCTGCTCCCTGTACTCTAAGGCTAAGTTCACAGCTTCACTGTTCCAATCTGATCTCTAAAGATTTCTCTAAAGTGATGGTTCACACTCGTGACTCAGTTCTGTTGCTAATGTGAATGAATGTGAATGAACCTGTCCTGAAACGACCCACATGAACCGTCAATAAACTAACCAGCAGAACAAGCCTTCACTGTGAATTAAAATGCCTCTGATCAGCTCATTATTAGACTAGATGAAGGCAAAAAGGTGAGATGTCCCAAATCCGATTTTTGATGTATACAGATCATATCCAGGTTGATTTTTGATAGTCTGACCAGCAAAAAAAAAAAAACACACAAAATCTGATTTCTGGCAAATCCAGATCGCATCCAGATTGATTTTTTAAGGTCTGAACAGCAAAAAACACATGAAATCTGATTTCTGGCAAATCTAGACTGTATCCTGACTGATTTTTGGAAGTCTGAACAGCAAAACACATAAAATCTGATTTCTGTCAAATCCAGATTGTATCTAGATTTTTGATAGCCTGAACAGCAAATCCAAACCACATTTGGAGGTGATTTGAAATGCGACTCCAGTCGGATGAGATAAGAATAACATCATCTACAGCGAATCACAGCCAAGAGGATATTCATCTCCAGTGTTAAACTGCTTTTGTCCAACAGTTTTACAAAATAAAGATATTAAAATAAAAAAACGCTAAAGTTGTTTCAGACTGTATGTGTTTAATATGGCAATTTCTTCCGCCAAAAAAAGTAGTTCCAGCCACTTACAGTAAAATGACCATCGCTGTAACTTAGAAAACAGTGGTTTGAGGAATGATACATGAAAAAAATCAACTATCTGGGTATAACAACATGAGTAGAGCGCTTTTCCACCAATCGGATAGTGTGGGCGGAGCTAATTGTTGTATAATGCTTAAACATAGTTCTCCTGACAGTTACCTCGTCAGATCTGAGGCCGTGGACTTCTTCCAGGGGGTTAAATGTCCATTTTAAACCGTGATTAAGATTTAAGGCGAGCATCCTGTCTGAGAGTTCGTTAGCTGAGGTGATTACGTCTGAGCTCCGCCAGGTTCCTTAAGCCGTGGAGGTGACATCACCACCTGAGCGCTGCCAGTCAGGCCAGGTATTTTAAGCGCGAGAGGAAGGGCACGTTGCCATGGAAAGTCTGCGGTATGAGCTGAAGGCCCACGTGCTGTGGATTCTTTCTTCGGCTCTTCTGATGGCCTTAGCAGGAAGGTCTGCAGAGGTCTCCGGAGAGCACTGAGCAGAAGTGCTTTAGCAGTCTGGACTTGATGTAGCTACAGGACAGGTATGCAGACTAAACTGAAGGTTTTAGTGCTTATGGTTATCCCAGAACCCCTGAAAACAAAGTAAGCACCTTCAACAAATCTTCCCTCGTCCTCCTCGGAGCTTCCAGATGATTCAGACTTATGAAACATCTTGGAAGGCGCTCGCTACCTGTGTCATCCTTTCCCTTCTCCGCTCTGAGGAACAAAGCCGAAGCGCCCCGGAGCTAAACGCGTAACGCAGAGGCCCAGGAAAAGGTATTATTCCGGCGATTCGACGTGAACCAGCGCGGCTGTTGATTAAATCTTGATCATTCGTAATAAAATCAAATTAGACTGAGCAGGAAATGAATACAGACCCTCAAACCCGGGGATCTGAGAAGCTCGCTGAGAAACAATGATCACATTGTGGTGACCCCATTACAGGGCCAGCGACTCCTCTGAGCCTCGCATACAATCACAGGTCTAATTACTGTACCGTAACGGCTCACGGATCACGCCCAACCCAATGGGTGATTTATTAGAGAGAACTGAAGAACCTCACGCTCAACAACGGTGATACTGAGCCTGAAATAACGTGTAAAACCAGAGTTCAGCTCTGTGTGACTCCAAACAAGACGCTTCTTAATACTTGATGAATATGCCAAGATGGTGAAATCGACTCACACCCTCAGCATTCGCCTCGGATCCCTGAGACTCGTGACTCAACTAGAACTTGCACCTCTGGGCATACCGGGCATTGAGACTCTAATTAGACTCACATTCCAAACACATTTAATCCATAAATATGTATATATAGATGGGCATTCCTCTTGAGACTCAAGACTGACCCACACCTCAAAAACATTAGACTAAAGACTCGACTCGGCCTCAGAGACTCAAGAGTCAGACGCACACCTCAGAGACCTAAGACCCTACTCAGACTCGCACCTCAGAGGCTCCAGACTCAACTCGGACTCGCACCTCAGAGACTCGACTCAGACTCACACTTCAGAGACTGCAGACTTGACTCAGACATGCACCTCAAAACTCAAGACTCGACTCAGACTCGCACCTCAGAGACTGGAGACTCGACTCAGACTTGCACCACAGACACCCTGACACTCTACTCAGATTCACATCTCAGAGACTAAAGACTCGACTCAGACTCGCACTTTAGAGATTCGAGACTCAACTAAGACTCAACCCTCAGACACTCAAGACTCAACTCGGACTTGAACATCAGAAATTTGACTCAACTTGGACTCGTTCTCGACTCTGACTCACACCTAAGAAATTTGAGACTCTACTCGGACTCACATCTCAGAGAGTCGAGACTCGATTTAGACTCCTTCCTCAGAGACTTGACTCAAACTCCCGTCTCAGAAACTTGACTCAGGTTCTATCCTTAGAGACATGACTCGGACTCACACCCCACAAATTAAGACCTGACTCAGACTTGCACCCCAGACACTCAAATCTCAAATAGGTCTCACATCTCAGAGACCCAAGACTTGACTCTGCCTTGCATCTCAAAGACTCAAGACTCAACCTCGTTTCCTAGAGGCTCAAGGTTTGACTCAGCCGCGCACCAAAGACACTGAGCTTCGACTCGGACTCGCCCCCAGACTCAAGTCTCGGACAAACAGAGATTCGAGACTCGACTCAGAACCTCGAGACTGGGACTTGCACCAAAGAAGCTGAGCTTCGACTCGGACTCCCCCCAAGACTTGAGACTCACTCACACCTCAGAGACTCGACTCGAGACATGACTCAGACTTGCATCTGAGAACCTCAAGACTCAGACTTGCACAAAGCGACTTGTGAACATCTCTGGCTTTCAGCTTAGTCAAAGCAAAAACAATTCCAAAAGCCTTACCCTCCGTCCTCCTGGAAGCCCTCCAGCTCGTCCCTCTGCTCCGCCAGAGTGGACTCCAGGTCCAGGTAGCTTCCATTATGGGATAGCTGCAGCGCACAGTCATCGAGCTGCAGGGAAAACACATACACATTCCATCAGAATTTCCCACAACCCATCTGTAAAGAAGAGCAGGCCTAATGTGCAGCACAGAGGAACCAGAGACGCCCAGGAAAGTGAGAGAGGCTGTGGAATTGAGATGGAAAACCCTGATGTCACAGCAAAGATATAATTATCTTGTCAGCTGCTTTGTTTTATAGGTGAGTAACTAATGTAACTTTGTTGTACTGAACACTCCGCAAGAAGGGCTTCATAAGGAATGACACGCTACGACATTTGCTCTGCGAGTGGGCTTCTTTCATGGTCAGGCTCGGATTTCATCTGATTACATGCTGTCAGCCATCGGACAATAAGCAGTGCTTAAATCATAACGTGTTGTCTTGTTTCCGCAGCGTTCAAAGATGGACAGCTAGGAAGAAAAGCATCTTCAAACCCACGAAGGCCTGAGTTCCTTTCCAAACTTCACTCACAGAGACACTTCAGTAGATCTGTGAGCTCCTGCTTTGTTTACTATACACACTACATGGCCAAAAGTATCCAGACAGTCCTACTGAGTGAACTCAGCTTCATTAAGGTCACTCATCACTAATACAGCTTTAATCTCCATAGAAAAGCACTGACCAACAGAACGGGACGCCCTAAGGTCTCCATGCCCAGTGCCAAGCGTGGGCTAGAGGGATATAAAGCCCCCCAGCATTGGAGCAGTGGAACTGTGTTCTCTGGAGTGATGGAGCTCCATCCAGTACCTTTGGGATGAGCTGGAGATCCAGAACTGACCATCAAACATCAGTACCTGACCTCACTAATGCTCAATCAAATCCTCACAGCAATGTTCTTCCCTTTATCTTTACATCTTCATACTGTATGATTACATACATGTGCTTTCTGTAGATCAGCATACTGCGGTGTATTCATATATAATATTTTTAACATATTTAATCTGTGAATTTATTTTAAGTTATACATATAAATATATACTACTATATATCTCTATCAATTATATTTTTTCCTAATTATAAAAAAACTTTTCTAATCTTAAAAACGTGTATATTTATTTTAAAATATGATCGCGCACAACTTTTTTTATATTATCTTATACACGCATATTTCACTGTGTCCTTATTTTTTAAATATTAGTTATTATTTTGTAAGATTATAACTAACTGCTTATCATACTTACAAATATAAACGATAATAGTATTAATTATATTATTTGAATATTTTTATTATCTTATTTATTATTTTATTATTATTATTCCATTGTATTATTGTGAATAACTTTGTGTATAAAGCTTTATTTAACACGTTTTATTGAATATATCCCAAATTATAAACAGCTATATTATGTAAGTATATTTTATTATTCTAACTAATAAACTTTATTTAAAGTGCTTTGTTTGTAATACATTTTAAAATTACACTGATCATAATTTTATGACTGTAAAATCTGTTTTTAAGTGATAGCCATATACACACTTAAAAAAGATGGTTCTTCAAGGGTTCTTTAGTAAAGGCAGTGGGTCTATTTAGAACCATGAGTTCTATACAGAACCATTTCATGCTTAAATGGTTCTTTGCATGGTGAAGTGGTTCTTCAGATTGATGGACAATGTGTTATATATAGTTCTATATAGAACCAACAAGGGTTTTTCCATTGTTACAAGCTTGACATTGTAACAATAGCAGAACCCTTTTTAGTTCTATATAGAACGATTTTCAAAAAGATCTTATATAGAACCACATATAGCACATCCTCCATTAATCTAAAAAAACATTTGACTATGTAAAGAACTCTCTAAGCATGTAAATGGTTCTATATAGAATTCATGGCTCTAAACAGAAACACTGCCTTTACTAAAGAACCCTTGAAGAACCACCTTTTTTAGTGTGACAGGTTCCAGTGCTCAGTGACATTTTAAGTCTGGGTTGTCGTCACTTTGATGAACTGTGTTGATCTAATGCTCAAATTAGCTGATTTATCACGTTCCGCGCGCGAGCTCCGCTGATGTGGGTGGAACCTCAGCCGTCTCTGGAGGTCAGCTCTGAAGTTGGGGCGGGTCGGCCTGTTTGTTGACACTCCATTAAAGTCCCGGTGACGGGATCCGAAACCTCCCAGAAGGCCGCAGTTAGGCTGCGGTGTGATCTGTCAATCAGTAAGTGAGCCAGGTCGCCCCCAGTTTCAAACATGCTAATTATACAAACACATGCACCCCCAAACCCCCCGGAGCCTCCGCCAGGCCTGCTAAGCTCTAGTGTGGTTGCCAGAGCCCTGCCTCGCCCCTGGGACAGGTACGAATATCCTCAGAGTGCTGGGACTGCGCAGAGTTTACTTTAGCTAACATGGCAAGAATACCTCACGGGTCACATCTCAGAGGTCCTGATCCAAAAACCTGTTCACATTCCAGCTTTCAGAGGGGAGTTCAGAGCGGACCGGTGTGAAACGGTACATTGTAGAGACTCAAATACAGACATTTTATTTACTATCCAGAACCACCAGTGAACCTACACGAGTCTTCTGAGTTTATATGGAATGTTGATGATGGAAAATAGTGGAAAATCTGGAATAATAAGTTTTCTTTGGGGACTATTTTGCCTCACAGCGCCCTGCATGTATCCCTCCACCATGAATGGAGTTTAAGTTCTCTAAACAACCATAAAACAGTGTCTCAGTCATCAGGCAGTGAATTCATAACCATTTCATGTAGGAACTTTCTGTGAGGGAGCTTTTAGAGGTGGACGTCTGGTTCCTATCACCACCACTGTGAACAGTTCAGACTCGGTAAGTTTATCTAGAACAGAGAGTTTCACACCAAACCACTCAGAACCTCTGTGATAATAATTTAATGATTCAATCAATTACAAATAAAAATAAATGTATATAGTGTATATAAACAGCTACACAATTTAAAAAGATGGTTCTTCAAGGGTTCTTTAGAACCACGAACACTCAAAGAACCATCTGCATGATTAAAGGGTTCTTTGCGTCATGAAAGTTTCTTCAGATTGATGGAGAATGTGCTGTACAGAGTTCAATACAGAACCTTTTAGAAAAGGTTCTATACAGCACCAAAAAGGGTTCTTCTATCTTCCATTGTTCATCTATGAAGTCAAGACTATAACAATAGAAGAACGCTTTTTCAAAAAGGTTCTACATAGAACCACATAAAACACATTCTCTATCAATCTGAAGAACCATTTCACCATGCAAAGAACCCTTTAAGCATGCAAATGGTTCTTTGAGTGTTCACGGTTATATAAAGAACCACTGTCTTTACTAAAGAACCCTTGAAGAACCTTTTTAAGTGTGTATACTGTAATCCATACTTGTTATCCAAGCCATCATAAACTACAACACCAACTCTAATATCAACATTACGTTAACATTTTAATAATTTTTATTATTTTTTCTCCTGTAGTTTCCATTTCAGAGATTCGAGGTTCTATTAAAGCAGCGATAATAAGGCATCCAAACTAGCTTTAGATCATCGCAGTATAACAATACCTTTACCCCCCGTTCAGCTCGCTGTGTGTTAATAAGGACTAAAGAGTCGTCAGGATCAGAGTGGGAGCTCCATGCTAACAGGATTAGCGCCCATCTTCTAGCACACACACCCCCCCCACACACACACACACACACTCTGTGGGCTCAGAACGCCGGTCACTCACGCAGATCTACACCGTTCCAGGTGTGGCATGAAGGAATTCCAGAGAAGGAATCTCAGATTTAACCTGCCTTCAGAAACCCTGCAGAGCGCCGCCTGGAAGTCACTGTGCGGGTCAGCTAGATGATGACGCCGCTGCACTCATTAGATCAGGGTTAAACCGGTGAGCCAGAAAGCGCATGCTTTTATAATAGCATCTCGCTAAAAACCCAAACTGGATACTGTTTATTGAAACCTTGAAATATTACATGAATACATGAAATATTAAAAACCTCATATAGGAGAAGGAAAAAACATACCTTACTTTTAAAATAAACGTTACTGGACTTAATCCAACTAATTCTGGCCATTTCTTTTGGTCTGTACATCATGAAATTTACACACAGTGTAAGGAAAATGGCAATTCAAATTATGCCAAAAACTCAAAAATGACAAAAATAGAGATACAGTGTATAGAGTTGTTCTACTGCTTTAATACAACAGTTAAATAAATACAGTAATAAATTAATAAACTGGGCCGTGAACGCGGCGTTTAATATGTTTTAATGTTTGCAGTTCCTTCACCAAATTATAGTTCCTTAACGAGCAGCTTGTTGCTACGTCAGAGTAACGAGCTCCGCCCACTCGCTGCACAGCCGGCAGTAAGCCTCGCCTTTTGAAGTACAGACTGAGTCATAAAACTGCCGCAATATCAAGTTCAGCTCAGTTTTGTCAGTTTTTGCCAGATCAGTATTAATGTTGTTTTGTTCCAGCCAGTCTGTAAAGCATCTTACAGCCCATTTAGTTTGGCGAATGGTGTTGGGTTCATTTCTGGCTGATTCCAGGTTGTTCAGCTGTTCTTCTGTCTCAGCTGCCGACTGAAAAGCTGCTCAGTGGTGATGACAGTTTGGGAATTTAGTGTCGTCTCATCTTCAGAGTCTGACCAAATCGGCTGTCGGTCAAATGTGATCTTAAAAGTGTCCGTTTTCTGTTTGTGGCAAAGTAAGAAGTAAAAACGTTCAAACGGCTTGAGCGTCTCCTACATAGATGTCCCATGGATTGTTGTTGGGGGAGGGGCACATCATGTTGCAGTGCATGCTGGGGATTGTAGTGCAGCGCTTTGTGAAACAGGCTAATATTAATAGAAATCAAGTGATTGATTGTGCCGTGGCCTTGTGTTTAGCATATGGCCGTTAGCTTGTACTGGCTACACTGTACTTCTAGGTAAGACGTACTTGTTACACGGCACTTTTTAAAAAGATGTTGTTAGCACTGTAGCAACACTGTGAGCAACATGCATTTGTTACGCTGTATCGTTAAGCAAGACATACTTGTTAGTAGTTGTTAGCATGGTAGTTATTAGCAACATG